TTCAGTAATTTTGCCCCTTATATGATAATCAGGATAATTCACACAGGTGACATAGATGTGAACACAAGAACGTGGACCTTCCGACCCTGTAAATGGTACAGGGGCAGATACCAAAGCAGTCTCTATCAAATGCAGATCCCCTTTTTCAAGTGAACGGTTGGCTGGTTGCTTTTTCGGATAGCCCAATTTGACATGAACTTCAGTCTGTTATTTATCATTCTTAGAATTTCATTACTTTTCGGTTAGATGATGTCATGATCACATGCCAGAACAGCACCATGTTGTTCGATTTGCACTTCAGTGAAGAATCGCGGTCTCCACAAATGCTTTGAATTGGCGGCCACAAATGATTAACAAACTGTTCCCCGCAGAACTCATAACTGCTTTGAAATGTCTCATGCCCCGCCGCAGAAATAAATATAAAGTAACTTATAAAACGGATAGGATAAAAAATTAGAAGTGGCAAGGCAATACATCTGAACACAGATCATGATGACGAATCGAAATAAATCGACACACAAAAGACTGAACACCCGAAAAAGCCGAAGTAAATGAAATGCACTGAAAAAAAAACCCACAGGCAACACAAAGGAGGGAAAAATTGGGAAACACTGAGGAGTCTTCGAGAGAGGGAGTATCAACCGGGAAAACTGTAAATACCGTCAGTTGATAAGTACAACTCAAGTTTAACTGGCCAGAGACTGAAGCGGGTAGAGAGGAGGCACATGACTTGGCAAGGGGCTGCTGAACATCAACGGTGCGATTAAAGGGAATGTGATGTAATCGAATGCACTAAGATAAAGAGGAAAGAGAGAAGAAAGAAACTCAGGCAGCCTGAAGGGGGGAGGGGGGGGATTGGGAAATACAAAGGCGTCTTTGAGAGAGGGAGCGGGCGAAGCCCGCGGAAAAAAACCAAAAGCAAGGGAGAAGGCAGTTGGATCGTACAGAGAATCACGCACAAGCTAACACTGTTTGGAAATCAGCAAACAAGGGAACCACAGGATATTAACATGTAATAATGAAGGTACTGGTGGACACATACTGAAGAGTATGAACCCCGCGCCAAATAAACTACAACACTAGCACGTCATGATCGGTGTTGTTAATGTGTTCACGCTGATTAGTCTTAAGCAAGACAAGTATGTATAAAAATCTGAATTTGTTTACACATAGTCCACAATAAAATTGTTACAGTATTTCTTTTATTGTTCAAATATTTCTCTGTTACTAACTTTATTTATGAAATACTACCAGGCCTTTTGAATTTATAAAATTCAATTATTCTTTATTTATGAAATACTACCAGGCCTTTTAAATTGATACAATTCAACTATTATTTTCTCAAATCATTAAAACATCTTTTAATGACGGTGTATGACACTTCCAGTGTGGTAGCCTTTCAGTCTTGCCTGAAAACAACCTCGTCAATGTAATAAAAAAAGTACCCAAGAAGGTTTTAACAACTAAGCAATTCAGTAGCACAGATGACAGTAATATATACACATGCGCTATTCTCACAGGAATCGAAGAAATGTTCAATCTAGATTAAAATGAGCGGTTGATAACAAAAAGAAAGAAGAATGTACGCCCTATATGGGACTTGAACCCATGACCCTCAGATTAAAAGTCTGATGCTCTACCGACTGAGCTAACCGGGCTCACTGAAAAGTAATGTTGAAATGAAAATGCACAAAACAAGCAGCAAGGGTTTTTCTCAACTAAAAACTAAAAACGTCGTTAAAGGGTTGGATTTGACAGTACTTCTGATTAAATGTACAGTTGCCGAACAACAATCAAAGCGGTATATTCTCGTTGCATTTGCACTGTGGGCAGTCAGTCTTACACGCCAAAACGGGCCCTTCTCATCAAACCTAGCTAGTACCGGTTTCAGTAGAGACTCCAGGAGAGTACTACTGTCTCCCCCTCCCCCCTCCTGGCTGGGAAGCTGGTCAGTTGCAGGTATCCCTCTACCCTACGTCAGCATTTTGTCAATTCAGAGTTCCCGTCAATTTACCGGTTCCCAGCAATACTTCTGGGTAGAGAGAGTAGCATTGTGACAGTTCATTGTCTTTTTATCCTTCGCGAAGAGATTGTCCATCTATAGATCAGACGTGACGTCCATTGAATAAAAATGAAAACAAACGTTAAAATGGGTGGCGAAGTGTCAGCCGGACGGGTAATCTGACAAAAAGTAAAATGCTATCATGAAGATACCTGTCATGTTTTGACAATACACATAATGTAATATAGCTTAGACAGGAGTCAGTATTGATCATAAATGTGACCTTTTTCAGCCTTTGTGTTGCTTGAGTTTATTTCAAATCTACTCTCTTCTTTTCATTCAATTCTAGGAAAATATTCTTCGTAATTGAAGAAAGCTAGAGTGTATCTAAAGTTAATTTCCATGCCGAAAATAATCTTCAAAGCCTAGAATGAGAAAAACTTACAACCTAAAAAAGCCTAAAATTCTACATACATCTACGTCAATCCTCACGGATTACGCACTCTGAGCTGACAAGGCCAAATCAGAATTCTGTTTGTATTGTCTGTTCTGAATCATTCCTTCAAGTTTTTGCCTGGTGGGGGTCGGGTCAGGGGAACACGTGGTTTTCTGGGGGAACAGAGAAAGAATCTGTCGTCGCCAATGGGTGTAAAGAAGAGACTACAGAAAATTCATTACCAATGAACTGCTATTGAGGGAGGAGAGGGGGTGGTCTTAAAAATTTTACAAGGCCTTACGAGAGGATCAGGTAAATGTTATCGTGACACAAGCAAAATCACCCGACCCTTCAGGCGATACATAATGACTAATCTCTAATCTCGAACCACCCAAGAGTCCAGAAAATCCCACGAGTCCATATGTATTGGTCTTATAGATAAAAGTTCAGCCACGAACTTGGAATGTGAGCTGAATCTTTATATGGAGCACTGATCCAATTATTAGCGATCCATTTTTCTCCTTTTGTAATATCACATCCTCCGTGCAAACTATATTGGTCCATTTCTCCTAACCATCCACTCTCTTTATCCATGAAATGATTATACCACATTACAGCGGTTCCCTTTCGTGGCTTGATGACTAAGTTTCCCACGTGACAGTTGTGGCTAAGGTTGAAATAGTCCAGCGTACCGCGAGTGTCTGTTAAGTACTGTTAAATAAGGTAAATAGGCGTTACCATTAGGTTTTGATCGATTTCTTTAGCTATTAAAGAATTCTGTTTGCAAAGCAAAAGACGGACTGGCTTACGGCAACCCGTCCGAACCCTACAGACAGACAAACAGACAGACAGACAGACAGACAGACAACCTTTATTTTAGCACGATAGTAATAAAAGCTATGCAGCTTATGGGGTCGTGCATAAATACTAAACCTAAGAACAAAATATATACGTAATAAGTAAAAATACTAAACTATCTAAAAATTAAATTGTTAAAAGCTATGACGTAACTTAAATATATTGGAAATCTTTACGTCTAAAATTTGTGGTTGTTGTAGAGGTTTCTTTGAAAGTCAACTCTTTAAAAATATCCATTGAACGGATTTTCTTCTTCAGGTTTTGATAACTTGTATTAGGAATAGTTTTATCCTTAGAAATTGAAATGTTCCATAATACAGGGCCTCTATAAGCAATAGAGTTTTTACCATAAATAGAGCTGAGACGTGGCACCACGAAGGAGTCTGACGCTCGTAAAGAGTAACCTGTAGGGCGTTTCGTCATAATGTTATCGGATCGCACTAGTGGGAGCTTATCATGATCATGAAATGCTTTGTACATTAGCTTTAACAGAATTAACTTATAACTATAGCTCAGCGGATGGCAGTCAGCTTGTCTTAACACATCCAACGATCTCATGTCCTTAGGTAAATTACAAATTATCCTCGCTGCCCTACAGCGCAATCGTTCCTACACACGCCAGCTTTTACTATGGTTTATTTTTGGATTGCGCTTGCTGGGCCGCACGGTTACATGATAAGCCTCGTTATCTCCTTAGTTTCTCACTTTGTTTTTGATTCATCACTCACCTCGAAGTTTAAAGTCTCGTTGTCTGCAACAGGAAAGGCTGTTTCACCTCCACCTTCCACGTCATTAAGATAATACAGAATGGTAATGTACCTAAGAGAGAAGAAAATATCAGGCATGGCATGACATGTAAAGTAAACTTGTTGAAGGAAGCTTTTAAAGGGTTAGACTTAGTTCTTATTAATATAACCGAGCGGGAAGTCTGTATGGGAGAATCTTGACCGAGGTCGCCAGTACAGACCAAACGCAGTAAGGTCTGTACCACTGCGACCGAGGTCAAGATTTTCCCATACAGACCGACCTAGCTCGGTTAATAAGATGTTTATTATATGGCTGTGTTTTATGTGCCAATTTTTTGTATTCTTTGTACCTTTTTTTTCTAGACCGGCCTAGATGGGAAAATCTAGACCGTTTTCAATATTGATTTCAGCCAATCAAATTCGTGAATTAGGTAGTTCCATGCACTCAGTGAGACACAGCCATATAATAATTGCTTTTACGAGTCGAGTGCTATACATATTTACATACATACAGATACATTAATTATTGAACTTTCTCAGTCCTTGTAGACACTGACTTCCTTTTCCGTAGTTTCATATAAACCAGAAAATCTAACCTGCAAATCCTGCATGGATTCTCAAAGCTCAACATATCCACTTCATTTTGTTGATGGCAGCAAGGGACGTCGGTCCTCAGGTGAGTTTCAGAATCAAAGTGGGCATGGTAATGACCATTTTTATCATAATAAACAACCTGAAAGGAAACGTGACGTGGAAAGAAGTAAGTTTTGTTAAAGGTCAACTCTGCATTTCAGCCGGCTGACGTAGACGGTTTCTTTATCACAAAGTGAGCCTTGAAAAGTTTACCAGTTCATTGCAGGTTATCTCCTCCGTTTCTTAAATCTAAGTTAACTTGAAGAAGACTCAAAGAGGACCCGCAGCATCCAGTCGAAAGGTCGTGATCCATGCACATCCTAAGTAATTTCATCATGAGATATACGATTGTAATTCAAACAGTGAGTTTTAACGACACGTATTCTTACCTGGAGTCTTTCACTTCCGTAAATGATTTCTCTTGGAAGTTTTGTCAACTTAATCACTCTGAGAAAAGAATTACGAAAATGAAAATACTGTCAGATAGGTCGTGGACATGGATTATATTTGGTTTCTGGAAAGGGGGGTAAGGAAATTAGATCGAAATAGTCAGTTAGAATGCTCATCCATCCATCAATCACCTAGACTTCATCTCCTCCCTTTTTCTACATTCATTCATCCACTCATTCATTTATCCATTTCTTCTTTAGTTCATTCATTTATTGCTTTATCCATGAGAGCCATTTTTAATTAAATGTCGAAAATATTGCTTTGCTTTGTTTTACTTCACGCTGAGGCTGCTTCGGAAAACTTACACTGCTCTCTCTTTCAATCGGATGCAAAACTGAAACCAATTAGAACTCGGTCGCTTGCGTTTTTCCGCGCTTTAGGAAGCTTGGTTAGTTTTTCTTTGTGTTCTCATTGGTTCCTCAAGGCATTTCCTTTTCTTCTGATTAGCTCAAGTTGTGATAACTATGGTTTTGATTTTACGACAATTGCAATCAATCGAAAAGTGCTCCATTCATTAATTATACCTTTCAAAGATCCTATCTAAGGTTGGATCTTTGAGGTATCTCTGGTTCACAAAGGTTTGATAACTATAGCGAGCCCTATATTTAGGATGAGTTTTTCCTGCGTGTGCCATTATAGTGTCAGCCCCACGGGTATTCATATCCTCGAATTCTTCAGGTGTCATTACACCTGAAAAAGAAAACATGTTGCATTTCAAGTCAGTCCGGGGCAGCTTTCATGCACATGCTTTGGTGATTTGGAGACAAGAAGTCACTGTAATAAAAATAGGTTTGTTAGACCATTTCTTTGAGATGAACAACATTTTTATATTATTTGATGATTCAACATGAAACCCTTTCAATTACTGCCTTTATAACTTAAGCCTTGCATGATCTCTTTTCTCTTTATAACTTAAGCCTTAATGATCTCTTTTCACCACGGATATCCTTGAGAACTTGAAGTGCAGCCTCGATGCTTATAACTTAGGACGTTATCAACTTAGCCAATACTTTCACTCGACCTGACATTTTTTTTTTCTTTAGTGACTTATAGCCAATGAAATATATATGAATTTGAAAATGGCGTATATAAAGGAAGGCCTGGCTATCTTGGGCGAAGTACATTCATGCGCAAAAGCAAGGTAAATAACAGACGCTTAATGAAGCAGCCTGTCGTGCGAGCTGGAATAAGCGCAACTTACCATCGTCTAACTCAGTAACGTTTACTTTATGAAGTCTGTGGTACAATATAAAAAAAAAATCTTAATTTGTGAGACAACAGATACTATTGTTATGAAGTATTTAGATGGTTCAGTTTATTCATTTAGTTAGTCAGCTCAGTATGATTCAGTCATTCGTTTATATTTAGAGTGTAGTTACTATTTGAATTCAAATTCAGAAGTTACGTAGGTTCAAGCTGTCGTGATGAGTTTCCGAATTATGACAGCCTTGTTTAACTTCCAAGTGGATGTGCCTAGTTTGTCTACTGACCTTGATTTGTGCCCAGACGAAAGTTCCTGTTTAAGCTAACGCAGTCAGAAGTTGATTAAGTTAATCAAAAGCATGATCAAGTAGAAGTCGGTTGTTGTTTATTTTTCCAAAGGTCAGTCAGCTCGCATGCCCACCCATGCTTATCAATACTGAATATAAAAGCGTGTGCTTTAGAGCTTTCTTAAAAGAGGAATGTAGACATTGTGCAGAGGTAGATAAAGAGTTCCGTAACTGAAGTGAGCATTAAGCAACACAAGTCAGTGAGAAGTATTCGGTGAGAATCAAAGTGTGAGAGACTTTAACCAGAGTTACACAGAATGAAGTAAAATTGGATTTGAGTAGGATTTTATTCTGGAGAACCGAGTAATTAAAGGAAACAGTAAAAGAAAGTTAAAGAGCCCTTGCTTTTGGTACCCGGCATCACAAAGCGAGCTGCGGTCGGCAGCCATAGCTAGTTACTCATCACTGCAACCCAGCATATTTGGCGAATTCCGTCCTAACATATTTATAGGAAGACATTTGATGTCGCCAACACTATTTTATTGTCAAAGGTGCCCTTAAAAGTAGTTCAGTACAACTTTAAGTTACTGTATGTAAAGGGGATGAGAATATGACTCACAACTCCATCAGATCTTCTTCGCTGAACACGGCATAAATATATTTCTTTCCGAACTCGATTACCTGAAGAAAAAAATACACGGATGATTTTTGTATATCAAGACGACTTTAATACAAGGAGATCTACTTGTAACATAAAAAAACTTATATTTACGAAGATGACAAGAGAGAAAGAACACAACTAGTGTACCGTGGCCTGTAAGATCTGTTTGAAGCATTAAAACTTATATTCAACGAAGAGGGCAAGAGAGAAAGAACACAATGAGTGTACCGTGGCCTGTAAGATCTGTTTGTAACATAAAAAACTTATATCAACGAAGATGGCAAAGGAAGAAAATGAGAACACAACAGTAAAATGATTTAAGCTTAAGTGACATGGAAAACTTTCAAAAATGACATGACATGTATAGTGTTTGATATGACGCGACGCGATGACATGACATTTAATATATGCCTTAGATAGCACAGGGTTCTACTATCGAGTATACTCTCATGTGAAAGCTGCCGACTTTGTTGTTTGCTTTTATACCTCGTCCACTGTTATTTTCTGGTCATTATTCATGTCCCAAGCACTAAAGATTCCCGCTGCATCTTCACCCTTGCCATCTGAGACAGTTAACAAAAACATAGTCAATATCGTAACAAGAATCATGACTCGAATACAAATCTGTCAAGCGTGTCTTCTGGAGGTCTTGTAGCTGACTTTCACAGCCGTATCGGTTAAAGGTTTTTACTGTGAACCTCGCTGCTTACTGGTAGGTCAGTGAATATTCACCGTTAGTATATATGTACCACACTGGTTGGCGCTTTTCGCGCGCACTGACTGGTTAGTTCGAAAGTGAATAGCAAGTGCTATTCACCTCCACTTTGGTGAATAATTGTTAATCTTTCACCACCATTACGGTGAATAACTAGTAAATAGGTGGTGAATCTTCCCGAAAGGTTCCAATAAGCGTCGTAAAGACGCCTATGGCTTTCTCCGTTAAACCCTGTTGAAAAAAGCCAAACTATAGTGAAGGCGACTACGGTTCACTCTCTTCCCTAACATTTTCTTCCGTGTTGCGTTGAGGAGGCGTTCGTGCCATAAACGGCCAAATATTTAATGTCACAGCCCAACTGCGTGGTCATTTGGGCCGATTTACTAATGTTATCCCCGGAAAGAGTTCAGTCAGATAAACATTGATTAGGATATATCAACAAAGTTGAAATGGTAAATTGGCCACCGTAACGATTACAAAAGCTGACGTTTCAAGCGTTAGCCCTTCGTCGGAGCGAATAGTGGAATTGTGGGTTGTGTGTGCTTTTAAAGGCTGACGTTTCGAGTGTTAGCCCTTCGTCGAAGCGTCATTCGGATCGTCATTCGCTCCGATGAAGGGCTAATGCTTGAAACGTCAGCTTTTATAATCGTAACGGTGGCCAATTTACCATTTCAACTTTGTTGATTTGTTAGACAGTATGTTAGACTCCTGGATAAAGCAGCCAGGTTTAGAAGGAAACTTTTTTCTCCTGGAGGGTGGTAAATTTACAATACATTTAGCTCAGTATTTTTGTGTTTGAAGTCAGCTTTGATTGGTGAACCTTAGTATTAGACTCTGAGGACTAAACTACAGAGTTAAGGGCTTATTAATTAGAGCTTTGTTGTGACATCTGTTGTTTTTTGAAATGTTGTCTGGTATTGAAATTGATAAAAGTAAATTGATAAAGGTTTTAATTTGATAAAGTAAGTTTCTATTTTTCAAATTTGTTGTTTCATATCTTTAGGGCCAGCTTCAAGGAGTGTGAAGATAATTGCCCAGTTGATTGAGAATGGCATGAATATTGCAAGATTGAATTTCTCTCATGGGACTCATGAGGTATTCTTTTTTAGCAAGTGTTTTTGTTTTGTTTTATTTTTTTGTACATCCAGGATGAAATATTTATGAGTGGTAATATTTGTA